GGGTTTGAACCTCCAGCCTTCTGGTTAGCAGTCAAGTGCTTTAGGCACTATGCTACGAGAGCTCCTCTAGACTAGGGTATAACAAATAATATCAACAACCACTGTGAAAATAAGAGTATTAGCTAATCTGACAAATGGTTTTATTTCAAGATGTAAAGCAATGCTCTGAACTGCATTCTCAGCTCTGCCAACAACCTGTTGGGTGACTTTTGGCAAATCCTGCCTCTTCCCTGGGCTGCGGTTTCCTTACCAGGTCATGGAGGGAAGATGGTCAAGAAACTTTCTCGTCATGTCAGTGGCTGAGTTAATTAAGCCTCTGTGTCCTTAGTGGTGACGACAGAGTTGGTTCAGACCAGCTGAGTTAGGAGTGGGGGGCAAGCATCCTCCCTGGTGATGCTGATGCAAGTTGAAGGCTGTGAAATGCTGATCTGTGCCATTCCATTTCTGTGGGCTTGTTCACAGGAAATACTTTTGGAAGTGCAAGTGCTTCTAAGGGATATTACAAGAAAAGTCAAGTCTATTTTTGCAAGGAGATGTTTTAAGAAAATCTAGCTTAGACTGCCAATCGGAACGTCTTGACACAATAGGTCTACCAAGAAGCCAGTCATAATATCAATCAGAGGGACGGAAGTGGGAGGAAGGACCTCATCGAAGGCTGGAGTAGGATGGTTGGCAAGAAGTGTGATTAAGGAGCTGTGGTGGTGTAGTGGTTAAGGCATTTGGCTGCTCACCAAAAAGTCAGTGGTTCGAACCCACTAGCTGGTCCGTGGAAGAAAGATGAGGCAGTCTGCTTTTGTACAGATTTACAGCCTTGGAAACCCAACAAGGGCCACTATGAGTTGGAATTGACTTGATGACAATGAGTTTGGTTTGGTTTCTGGAGAGGTGGGACCATTATGTGGTGATGATAACGATTGTGTTGTGATGGTTGCATCTTCCACCCATGAGCTAAGTGATCTTATTTATAATTTTTTTTTTTTTTGCCTGCTGTCTCATCCTATGAGTTCTGCTTTGTATTATTTTACTCTTCAAATCCATGAGACTTGGCTTTCCAAATACATGATCTCCTTAAAAACAAGGGCTTTGAATACACTTTGTGGACCATGTGGTGCTGAGAGCTTGAGCTCTGAAGTCAGACAGACCTGGCTTGAAACCCCAATGCACTGACATGCTGAGCTCCGTGACCAGGTGAGGGTGCCTATCTGAGCTTCTGCTTCCTCATCTGCAAAGTGGGGATCATAATACACCCACACTCCACAGGGCTGCTGAGAGGGTTCCAGGAGATTAAACCAACAGCCTAATTAGTAGGTTGGCCATTATTACTATTGTATTAATATTAATATTGTTGTCAGCTTCTGTCAAATTGAGACCCAACTCATGGCGACCCCATGCACAAGAAGTCTAGAAACGATTATAATGTTTTTGTTGCCCTAAAACAGTGCTCTCAACTGGGGAGGGGGTGCAAATTTGCCTCCAGGGGAAGTTTGATAATATCTTGAGACATTTTTGGTTGTCACAACTAGAGGGTGTTACTGGCATCTAGTGTAGCAGCCAACGATGTTGCTGAGCACCCCACAATGCACAGATGTGTGTCCCCCCAAACACCAGAGGATGATCTAGCCCCAAATGCTAGTAGTACCAAGTTGAGAGACTCTGTTCTGGAGTCAAAAGCTTCTATCTCCGTGCCTGAAATACCCCAGCTGAAAGTGCTGACTAGTGAAAAAGAAGAAGCTGGGCTGAACAGGCACAAGGGGAACAGGGTGTCAAGGTTTTAGAAAGCAAGTGTGTTCACTGGACAGTTGATCGGCCCCTGTTAACTCCGTACAATGATGAGTTCACGCCCGTGGGTCAGGAGGTGACTCTGGGAAATAGCTCCCTAAGTCTTGAGGCCAATGTGTCCCTCGAGCCCAGGCTGGCTGCTCCTGCACACGCTCAGCGAGGGCTCTAGACAGATTTTATCAGGCTCTGCAAACTATTTGACGTTAGCGCGTCTGGCCTGGTAAGAAATGAAATGACTCATTCTCAGCTGATTTGCCACTTAGCTCTAAACCACCATGTCTGCTCTCTGTCACTTTTATACGGCAAATGGCTTTGCTTGCTTCTGGTTCCGTGTCCCTTTCATGAGGACAAAGGTACAGCTTCAGTGACTCCCGAGGCGTTAGCTTGAGGAGTCATTTCGCCTCAGCTTTGGTTTATGAGCTAGCAAGGCAAGGACGGGGAGCCACTTACACGTGAGCCTCTGGGAGCAGTGGTGCTATGATGCAGCTGTGCCAGGGGATGAAGGGGTGCAACATGATTTCGGTCCCTCCTTCCACCTTCCTCATCTTCTCATCATACGTGCTGAGGGGACAACAGACAGAGCGGAGTGAGCAGTGAGCAGCAGGCTTAGACACCTTCCATTCTCCTCCTACCAGGGCTTATTTAATAGATATTTCGGGGTACCCACCAGCCATTCCTAGGAAGGAAGATTGGGCAATCTGCTTCTGTAGAGATACTGCCTTGGAAACGCAAGGAGGGGTTGCTGTGAGTTGAATTGCCTCAGCGGCAGTGAGTTTGTTTTATTTTTGGTACCATACGCAGAGTCTCTGGGTGGTGGCTGGACACAGCTAACGTGCTCTACTGCTTACTGGAAGGTGGGAGGTTTGAGTCCGCCCAGGAGCCCCTCCCAGGAAAGGCCTGGCTGTCTACTTCCAACAGGCCACCCCTTGGAAACCCGGTGGAGCACAGTTCCACTCTGACACACACAGGGTTGCCATGAGTCGGCATTAACTCAGTGACAACTGACCGGGTGTCGTGTGCCCGGCACTGTTCTCGATGTGGCCAGTGAACAGATATATAAAAACTCATGCCCCTGTGGATTGTGCTTTCTAGATGTGCAATACATAGAATAACAAGGTAAAGAACCAGCTGTGTGTTATACTAATACACTGGACTCAGAACCAAATATAACCCAAACTCACTGCCATCAAGTCGATTCTGACTCATAGCGACCCCCTTTGGATGTCTGAGGTGGTAGGTCTTTATGGAAGTAGATTGCCTAGTCTTCCTTCCATGGAGTGGCTGGTGGGTTTGAACCACCAACCTTCTCATTAGCAGTCAGATGCCTTAGGCACTACAGCACCAGAGCTCCTTATACTTAGAATAAACAAGATAAACAACTGTGTTTTACTAATACACTGGACTCAAAACCAAAAATAATCCAAACTTACTGCCATCGAGTTGATACCGACTCTCAGTGAGACTCCCATTGGGTTTCTGAGGGTGTACATCGTTACGGAAGCAGAGCTGCCTTATCTTTCTTTCACAGAGCAGCTGGAGGGTTTCAACCACTGACCTTTTGGTTAGCAGCCAAATGCTTTAACTACTATACCAGCAGTCCTCCTCTGATACACTGGACTAGAAATATTTTCTTAAAGGACCATACAATAAACGTTTTTGTCTTTGTGGGCCAAAACTAGAGCCAAGTGTCTGTCACAGTTACCCAAAGCTGCCATTGTAGCATGAAAGCAGCCACAGACAATATGTATACAATGTGTAAATGGCTGTGTTCCAATAAAACTTTATTTACAAAATCAGGCAGTGGGCTGGATTTGGCCTTTAGTAGCATAGTGCCTAAGGCACTTGACTGCTAACCAGAAGGCTGGCGGTTCAAACCCACCAGCCACTCCTCAGAAGGAAGGTTGGGCGATCTACTTGTGTAGTGTTACTGCCTTGGAAACCCAAGGAGGGGTCGCAATGCATTGGGTCCGACTTGATGGCACATAACAACAACAAGAACAACAACAACAGATGGTGACAGGCACAATGGGGAGAAAGCAGAGAAGAGGAGTTGGAAGGACTGGGAGGACTGGGAGTTACAATTTGAAATAGCGTGATTGGGGAAAGTGTCCATTAGAAGGTGACATTTGATAAAAATCTAAAGAGTGTGAAACAGTGAGCCATTCAGACATTTGGGGGCAGAGCATCCCAGACAGAGGGAACAGCACATGCAAATGTCCTGAGGTTGAGCTGTGTTCTAGAACCAGCAAGGAGGCCACTGTGACTGGAGTGCAGGGAGCAATAGAGAGGAGGAGGACGAGAGAAGAAAGACTAGACCTAGAGAGAGGGGCCTTGTAGACCACTGCAAGGACTTGGGCTTTTCTCTGAGTGGCACTAAGGATTTTGAGCTCAGAGGAGACACCACCTGACCTGCATTTGAAAAGGGTCCTTCTGACTGCTGTTTTGGGCACCTATAGTGGAGAATCAGATGGAAATGGAAGCTAGGGGAGACTTCCTTGAGGAAGCTACAGCATTCTAGAAAGATTTTCCTCAAATTTTTTGACACTCCTCCAATTGAGGTGAGGTCTCTGTCCCCTTCCCCTTGAAATCTTGGCTTTGTGACTGGCTGAACGAGTAGACTATGTCAGAAGTGTGATGTCAAGGCAGTTTCTGGGTCCAGTCTCAAGGCGCTGATAGCCTCTACTTCCTGTGTCTTGGGATGCTCATGCTTAGAATCCAGCCTCCATGCTGTGAGGAAGCTGGCAGCCTGTGAAGAGATCCATTGGGAGAGGAACCACGGCCTTTGAACCTCGGCCCTGTCTGACAGGCAGCCCTCACTTACCACGCACGTGAGTGAGCCATCTTGGAGGCTGATCCTTCAGGGTGCCCCAGCAAATGCTGTGTGTGAGACAGAGAAGAGCCTTCCCCACTGAGCCCTACTCAGATTGTAGATTTGTGAGTAAAATAAATGTTTGTTACCGTCATAAGTTTTGGAATGACTGTTCATGGCAATAGTAACTGGGACAAAAGTAAGTATTGAGCTAGAATCTAAAGGTTGAGTGGAATGAACTAGGCAAATGGAGGAAGGAAAGGCCTTTTGGACAGAGAAACTAGCATGTGCAAAGGTCCTGTGGTGGGAGGGCATTAGTGAGCAGGAAAGGTGGAGAGAGTGGCTGTGGCAGAGGGAGCGAGGAGAGGCTGTGAGAAGGGGTGGGAGGGGCATCCAGGGGCTCGACCACACAGGGCCTGGTGGTCTCCTCCCAGATTTCTGCCTTCATCCTGTGAACAATGGCAGCCATTGAAGGTTTTAAGCTGGGAATGATTTATACCTTGAAAAAGTTGCTCTGTCTTGGTG